TTATATAATATAAATACAGAAATTTTATTGTTTATAATTATTTTAATTTTATTTTCAAATAATTTGAATATTATTAGGTAGTACTTTTTCAGTTACATTTTTATATTCCTTCACTAACAGATACTGACAGAAATTAAAATATACTGTAACTAAATTATATGGTAACATAGTCCCCAATATACAATAAATTTTAAAACAACGTGTTTTTGTAATATTAACCAATTTATGTTAATCATATAATAAAAATGATGACAGTTCAAAAGTTTAATAGCAATGCTTGTAGTGTCCCTTTTTTTTCACGTAGAACACTAAAAAATTGGAATATTTACCTTTTTTTATTATAAAATCTGCTTCGTTACGACAAATGTATATAATAGAATTATTGATTTACAACACTGAACATGTACGAATACTTTTAAAATTATTTTAACCTAATACAGTTTTAGATTTCACCGAATACATCTACAGCAATTACTATATATGATGATAAACATAGATTGATAAACATCTTTTAGAGACAGTTAAAAATTTTCTTCAAATAAACCAAATTTACATTATTACCAACGTCAGATCAGAGGCCACAAATTTTTGACATGTCACTTCAAGTAGAACTTATAAGTATAGTTGGTGGAAGGAATCTAGCGAGGTTGTAAATTAAGGGGGGATATACACCTAGATGTAAAAAGAAAAAAATAAATTTGTTGTTACATATTTTCAGTGTTTAATATTTCAATATATTATCTAATATATTATTGATATTTTTACATAAAAGAATTTATTATTATAACCTAAGATAAGATTAAATTAATGAAAAAATTATGGATACATTAATGTTTATACTTTCTTAAATAAAAATTTTGAAAGAACGTCAGTTTTTAGGCCCCTTTAGCTGTATATCCCCCCAGTATTAAGAAATGACACTAATTGGTGCAGTACGCGTATTTTAGGTTTTCTAATTTAAACGGAATCATAGCTAAAGTATACTTCAATGGCCCTGACTTCAGGCCCTTATCTTTTCAGGTTTCTGTTGATTCGTTTGTCGATATGCTCGAATATGTAAACTTTGACGCCTGACCGATTTCTCGACCTCGATATATTTCTTCCATTGACTATACTCGAGTAAATACACGTAATAACACTATCATCTTTACCTCGTGCATAACCTTGTTCTAAGCAGCAACTTTAAAAACACAATTGGTATTTAATTTCCATAACATAACATGTACTTTTTAATATTAAACTATTGTACATTATGTAATGGATTATAAGTATGTACGTATCCTTTTGTGTGATAAGATTTGTACTAAGGAAACATTGTTTTGATTTATAATTTCTATTATCTTAACCTAAAACCTTGGAATACGATTTATATATAACAATTTTCGTGAAGTTAGCGCAAATTTGTTTCGTTCATATTATTAATTTATCATGGCCAAGGGTAATAAACATTTAAAACATTTGAAATCTGAAAAAGCTAAGGTAAAATTAAAAGCAAAGAAAACAAAGCATTTACCAAAGGGATTAAATGTCACGAATCCAACGTTTAAAATTAAAAAGATTGTAATACGAGAACAATTGAAACAGCATGATGAAACGGAAATACTTAGCAAAAGAAAGCTTAATGTTAAGGTACCATTACACATACATACACAGAAGATGTGCATATGGAATTTTAAATAAATGTGATTAACAACAAAAGTTTAATTTTTAGGATTTACTGTCACGTCTTCAACATCATAATTCAACAGTTCGACAAGATGCTGTGAAAGAATTGAAAGAAATTTTGTCAGAACATTCCTTAAAATTATTAAGCACACAATTTGGACCTCTTTTGCAAGGCATTTGTGCATTGTCTCTTGATAAAGAGAGAGATATAAGACGTGACTCTTTGAAAGTTTTGAGTCTAATTCTTGGTCCAGTTTCTAATGATCAACTTAACCCTTATTGTGATGTTTTGGTTTCATATTTGAGGTGTGCCATGACACATATAGATCCACGTATCAAAGAAGATTCCTTACTTTTCTTGGATGTCCTTGTACAAAATTGTAGTAACATTCTAGCAAGAAATAGTTATAAAGTGCTGCCAAATTTTTTGGATATGATTTCGAAGTTGCATACAGAAATGAAACCTGGAAGACAATTAGTAACAACTTTGAATACCAAAAATACTAATGTTAGATGGAGGATTAAAGTATTGGAAAGACTTGCTACTATGTTTAGTTCTATTGTTAATTTTTTTAAATCTCAGCAAACTAATGGTTTGAATGAAAGTGGAAAAGTTATACGTGTGAATAAAAATACTAGATATATTCCAGTTTACATAAATACTCATTTCCAGAATTGTGACATTCAGTTTGAACAAACTGGTGATATGAAAAAGAATAACATTGAAAAAAGTTTAGATGCAGAGGAGCTCATGAAGTATGTGGAATTATTAATGCCACTAATATGTGATAGTTGGATTGAAGTATGCCCAGATGAGAAAAATACAGATAATTCTGCTCTTTTAATATCTACAGAAGCTTTAGAATTATTAAAAAGTATTGTAGAAATAATACAATTAATAATTGAATGTATAGATATATTATACACAGAATGTGATATAAATATGAAATATTGGTTTAAAGAGAAGTTTCAGAATACCTATACAAAAATCTTACTTTCAAAATTTCCATACAATAAATTAGGTGCAGCTGGAAGTTTTCTTTCTTCAATAAAAAACAGAAAACGTCAAGAAGACTTTTCTGAATCGTACGATGTTTGTTTAGGGTATAATTTAAGAATTTGTCAAATTTATATATGGTTTACATCAATACATGATGATAAAATGATGTCTAAATTAAATAAAAGTTACTGCAGATCTATAATTAAGTATTTAAATGGTATGATACATTTTATTTTTGAACTTAATAATTAAATGCAAATATGTTAGTAACGTTTTGTTTCTCTCTCTTTTTTTTATAGAAAAACTAGAAAATTGGACTAGTATTAATAATATTGTATTACCACAACTGACTAAGCTCTTGAGAACATTATTTTTGGAAGCAAGTAAAATTTGGTACAAAAATCATCTTGATTTGAATGAAACATTACAGTCAGTTATAAATACATGTTGTAATCATTCAAAAAAAGAAATGCAGTTGCAATTATTTTCTGTTATTAGTGACATAATGTTAGACCACACTTTACATGAATTGCATAGGTAAATAATTTTACTATTTTTCTTAAAATTGTTCTTGTTCCTTTTACAATAATTTGTTGTACATTGCAGGGAAACTGCATTTAAAGAATTTATCTCAACTTTGCCAAGTCTTTTGTTAAAGCCAAAAATACACGAAAATACAATACAAATAATAAATAAAATTGTGCTCCGTTATAGAAATTGGATTCATAAAGAACTTGAAGCAAATTACAATGATATTATAGGTAAATATACTTAAAAATATTGAGTAAATATTAATATTCTGTTTATGAACAATGCATGTATTATTTGTATTACAGAGAATGTTAAAAAGATTGAAATTACTGGGTCTGAAGACGAAAAACAATCTCGTCTTATGATCTGCAATTTGTTTTATTTCTTAGACACTGAAATTTTTTATTAAGTAACAAAAATATATATTTTCAAAATAAATATATATTTTACATACGTTTTATTAAAAATCTCTACAGGAGACAGTATTTTTCATCTTCTCAATAAATTAATGATTCTTGCACTACGAAAATTTTGAAAGATTGTTTAGTAGTATGCAATCGTCAACATCATTAAGTTATATACTTCGACAATTATTAAAAATACATATTAGACATGTACAATAATTACAAACTTTATCCTGTATGTTTTTGTATCGCTCTATAGCAATGTGTCGACAATATTTCATAATACTTATGTACAAATACTGTGATTAAAAACTTGTAACATCAGATAAAACATTTTCAAGGCACGTTTTAAAATCTTGTTATCATGTTTGTATTTCGCGACACTTCATCATCCACGAACGAATAATTATCAAACACGTATAATCCACTATTGTCTTTGTTCGAATCTGTTGTTTGATGAAGTTTATTATCCTCTAAATTCTTTTCGGTTTCGTTTACATAAGACTGCTCCTCTGGATACTTCACGTTAATAATATTTTCTATGCTCGGCGTTAAAGGCAATGTTGGTAATTTTTTACTAAGTTTTGGCCAATTCAAGTTGTTCTTCAATGCATGTTCTATTCTTAAATACTCTTTCTTAGATTTCTCCGGTCTATAAAATTTTGTTTTTAATTTTTTCTCGACTAAATATTCCATTACAAATATTTCAACAATGAAACAAACTATAAAATTTACAAAAGCGAGTGCCAAAATAATGATCCTCCAGTCGTATGTTGGAGGTACAAGTAATTCAAGCAAATTTACTATCCAATTTGCTGGGTAAACTGTAATATAGGTGCAAACGATGGTTAACAAAAGTATAGAAAACATGAATGCAGCGTTCGTATAAATTGCCTTTCGATATGGCTTTCCCCGTGAAAACATTATAGCCATCGTTATATATTGGAACATAGAAACGCAATAAACAGAATAATTTTCGTAGCATGAACCATTACCATCTTCTATGTAAATGAATGGTGTAAACCAAGGAAAACTACGTACCGCATAATAAGCGATAGCTTGAAAGATCGTCATTATGAACATATGTACAGACAAGGAGAAAATCGTTGTGAAACTTAACAGACTAGTCATAGGAGGTTTTTTCACTAACTTCCTTTTATACGCTTGAGTCTTCCCGAAGAATGAGGCGAAGTTAACGATCAGACAGATATCGATAAAAAGAAACTCAAGATCTGTCAAATTCGAATCGATTGAGAAGAGAATAATGACGGACAAAAATTCTGTCAGAGAATAGGTGACCATAAATTTGAAGATACCAAACGATGTAACTAGGGCGGCGCGTCCTTCCCTTATCACCTTTGGAACGCAGGTTATATCTGGTACCTTGGACGTAAAAGGGCTCGCGACACTAAAAATAATATTTCACTAATTATTTCTGTTGAAACGTCCAAGATAATTCTAGAAATTTATGTCAATTGTTTTTAAGCGATTTTTTAAGAAATTTTCAATTGAAAAATCAACCGACGAAGAGTTGACCTAATTTTTAGAATCACCTTGTATCATAAAAGTATGAATACGAATATCATAAGCCTATCGCATAGAATGAAAGTTACATTGCCGGTTGCTGTTATGTAAAAATGATGTAATTCTTTAGCATTGAGATATTACCTAGATTCTGCTTCGGATAAGGATATACCGACGTGTGCAGCTCTCAGAGCACCGCAGTCATTAGCACCATCGCCGCACATGGCTATAACGTTTACGAAACATTTTTAAATAACTGTTTCATGGCACAATGCAATTAAAGTACTGTAACTGTTGAATGTTGATGCGTACCGACATAATATCCGAGTTGCATCAGTTCCAACACTAATTGTTGCTTCTGATCGCTGGTCATTCTGGCAAATATTGCACCACGTACGCAGATTTTCGCCACCAGATCTGGAAAATGCTCACGCAACAACTGCCACGATTGGCCTGTTAAAGCGAACCGATAATTACTGGTGCTTATATTTTGTTCTATATCTTGCAGTTCCGGTATCTTGAGTTGTTTATTATGAAGACTCTGGAAAGAAGAAGAGATTAATAGTCGTAATTTTTTTTCTTTCTTTTTTTTCTTCTGAATATCAGTTTTAACAATTCTCTACGGAATCAAGTGACGTTACAAGTTTCGGTGATATTTCTTGTGCATTGAAATATATCTTTGGTTGTAACTTATTCTCTTCCATGACTACGGTAACGTCTATCACAGAGTCGTGCGGCGACAGGATACCACATTCCCTCGCAACGCTCACTGCAGTTTGAATATTATCCCCTGAATGTGAAAAGTAAATAAATCATTTCGCAATCCGGCAACTAGTAGTTTCACGCTGACGAACATGTTGAAGTACCGGCATACGGCGGTTGCTAAATGCTAATTACCTGTAATCATCAAGACATGTATGTCAGCCGTTCTCAGCTCTCTGATAACCGGTATAGTTGGTGTCTTCAACCTGTTTTCCATAATAACTAAACCTAGGAATTCAAGATTCTGTTCGACTGCATCTCGAGACAGTTTCGTTATCTATGCAAAAATAGGAAACTTAGCGTTGAAAAAGAAGCAAAAATAGGAACATTTAGAAAGTTCAAAGAAAACATTGAAACGATCATATTTTTTACCTTATTACTATTTTCAGGCAATTCCGTTCGTCCCATAGCTATCACTCGATAACCCTGTTCCGTGTAATATTTCAAGGAAAACATTATATCTTTCGGTACAGTTTCAGGTTTGCTCAAACTAAGTATCATTTCGGGCGATCCTTTCGTATAGGCTTTGAAAGTATTCGATCCCAGTACACGTACTATCACAGACATTCGTTGCAGAGAGCTTGAGAATTGATATTGCTGTATTATCCCGATTTCCGATATCTCGTTCATATTTTGCGTAAAACTATTGTTTATCGGTGGTTTTACTATCGTTGGCGCTATGAGATCATATTTGTTCAAGTGTTCAACATTGAACTCTTCTAGTATCCACCCGGTACTTTCAAACATCTGCAATACGTAATCGATCAACGACATCTTCTCCTTTAGTCAACAATCTTTTCACTCGAAGCACAGTGAAAGTATGTGTAAACGTAATACCTTAACGTCTAGAGGATCTCCGCAGAGTTTACCGTCTATTAGAGTTAAACTATGACAAACTAACATTCCCTCGAAAAGTGCGTGATCGTTTAATTTAGGAATGCTTCTCTCTGATTCACCAAGAACACTGTTCGTACAAGGTACAATACCCCACATGTCCAAGCCATCCTCCGTTAAAGTACCCGTCTACAATAAGTTAATAAAATGGAAATGTTAATATTAACATTGGTATTAAGTAATATCCATAAATTGAAACTATACAAAGAAACATTCTCACCTTATCGAAACACACGCAATTTATACTGCCAGATGCGTTAATAACCCTATTGTTGATGCAATATATTTGCGCTTTTTTAAGTCGCGCCTGAGCGTATAACTTTCCCACTGTCATTGCTGCTGGTAATGCCGGCGGTACTACTATTGTTATTATGTCCAAGGCTCTTATCGCTATATGTCCAGCTGTAATTCCTCTATAAGCCTATAAAATAGCATCATAGATATGTAATGCTTTATTTCAAGGGGGTATTAATTCCCGTTACGTATCTAAAAGAGGTAATATTAAAATGCACCTTGATCGCAATGGTATATATGAAACCGCATGTTGCGATAAACGCTAGTATGCCGATAAACTTATACGAATCTTGATCGAACTTAAAATCTGCCGGGGGTGGGTACAATATGGCAGCAACCAGAGAACCTTTACTTGTGTGAAATCCTGTTCGAATGACCCGTGCTAGAACCGGGCTGTTGCTGTAACTTCTAATTAGGGGAACAACCAATTAACAATATGTAGTTCTAAACCTATTTCTAACGTGTTCAGCAATTACGCGAAATCTAAGCACAATACCTGGTTTGTATAATAGTGGTGCCACTATATATCGTATGGTGGGAACATTCTTTAGAATCGTATAAAACGTGACGCGATGGCAGTAGTGTTTTTGTTACCGGAACAGATTCCCCTGGAATTTCATTAATCGACGAATAATTACACGTATAAAAGGAGCATGATTTAAAAAAAGAAAAACATTTGATTCGTATACAATCGTACCGGTTAACATCGATTCGTTCAAAATGCATTGTCCTGTTAATAGTACCGCATCGCAGACCACTGTAGCTTGATGCTTTGGTAATTCTATGATGTCACCCGGTACCAAATCGCTGCTCGGTATATCTTCCACCACTTTGGAACTTCTATGCACACGAACAGTTTCCGTGGACGCCACTGTACCGCTAAGATTAATCTGATTCTGCGAGAATATTCCGTATTTTAGCGTGACTAACGTTCACAGACGGGGAAATTTACGCTAACGCTTTGAGCTTGCCAATGAAACTAGAAACTAGGAATGAAGAAATTATAGAATACGCTTAAAATGATCGACAGAGGATTGTTGCAAAAATCCAAGGCAAAAATTGCCTCGCGTTCAGTGTTCCTGTATAATTACAGCGAGGTCGTTAAAAGACTAGGAAGTGAAAAGAAGAGTGTCCCTTAATTGGTTTCATTTAATTGTTCAGGAATAGACTTGAATTGATCCATTTTTAGATGTTATCCTAATAGAAGTTAAATAGAGGCCGGCGCAAAGCGTTGAAAAATGACCAGATCGGTGTTCTTTTTACCTTACGAGTTTGTATTATGGAACTTATGATTCCGAACAATGACATACATATGATCGCTGCAGTATAGTACAGGTAGCCTTCCGCAAACCATACACATAGTGTGAATACTTGAAATATGTAAAACGGGTTCAGTGCTTCCAATAAGAGCAACACACCAATGCTTTGCACGGGAACGTCGATTTCGTTGCTTCCGTATACGATACGTCTATAAAAAAAAAGATATGCAAAGGAGATACATATATGTATAATAGTTAATACGGGACGCGGAATGGAATCGATTGAACGAAAAGATTCGTTCGAAGGAAATAAAAGAATTGTGCGGTATTAACGATGAAATCAGCTAATTATTTGTTTCATTATTTCGATTAGAGTGGTATCTCTTGGACAAAATTGAACATCGTGCACACAGAAATTACGAGAGATTTCTATCTTATTATTACCTAAGGCATTGTTCTTCTTTAGAGAGTCCTTGATTATTATTGAGATTGAGATCCGAACACAACGTGTACTTGTCTAAGCCTACCAATCTGGAGAACGTGTTCTGTGTGATGTCCCAGATGTAACATTGTTTTTTGCACCAAAATGCTCTGTACTCGAACACCTCGCACTGCGTGCCGTTCTTTAGATTAATCTTTAACTTTTTACACCTGATCTTCTCGATGAGATGTTCATCGTCGCTGTCCAAGTTTCTCGACAAATCTTCCACGCTAATTGAAAGAACAAGAGAAAAGATACAGTGAGGAAAAAATATATAAGAGAAAAGGTCGCGATTTGATTGCTAAATGGACGAAATAACCTGATGATAAACCGACCTGATATTCTTCACTGAAATAGTCTTCACATCCTTCACGAAGTACGACTTATACTTTCCTTGATAGTTATCCTACATGCGGGAATCACGTTCATAACTATTAGTTAAAGCATCAATGTTAGTTCTACCTATTCGAATGATTTAGTGTTTTATCTTATTTATCCATTTTTTTTCTCTTACGAGTCAGATTAGTCGTAGATAAATTTGTTCAAAATACACAATCGGATATTCGTAATTTGTGTTTAGAAAGAAGAAAGTAAAAAAATAGAACGTATAAATTAAAGAGTGGAATTCTTACAGTTATGAGCAGCTTTGTGGCCTGATTCAGAGAACACTTTTTGTGGGTAGCATAGAGATGTAATTGGGGATACCAATGGAAGAAGAGTCTGACACAGCCAATGGTCAATACGTAGGATATACAAGCCAGAATGCTTTTGAACTTGCTCTTTTCGAATCCGTACACATGCTGAAAGTATGTAACACGTTAAATGTAATTGGTATGGACGATGGAAATTTTTGACGTATAATTTTCCCGAGGACACACTCACCATGTCATCATCTTGACCAGTTTGAATCTTCTGCCACTGTACTTCCGACGTTTGGTCATTTTTTATTCCTAATCGTACGAATAGAGAGAAAGAGATTCTTTCGTGAATATCAGATAATTACTCTTGAATCATCGGATCAGAGTACTATGCATCGTTTAAAAGTTCTCGAATCACTGCGTATTTTCAAGATATGTAATCCCTGTTATTTCCATAGAGGAGCTATCAAATTTAAGCTAGTTATAAGGAAAACTGTCTCGAATGAAGGAACATAATCAGTTAATTCTCGCAAACATTATCTACGTATCGACGTGCAAAAATCGTCTAAGCTTTTGCTATTCTCGATAGCAAATTAATATTACAAATACAAATGATTCAAAACTTTTAATCCGGTAGTGTGTATGCATGTAGTTCAGGTGAAAGTTTTGCTTCTGGTAATTACACATTATGAATCATGAATGACCTATACAGCGCGGAACGCGTTTGAAATAAGAGAACAAATATTCTCCGAGCTGTTTAAACCACCGGTAGGCATTCAGGTAGATTTTTGCGTTTGCGTTTTATCAACGATAATGAAATCACGGGGGAACACTTCCGTCGCGGCGAAAAAAAGAAACAAACATCGATCATTGTATTATTATGTAAGCACAATGATACAGTTTAATTACAGATTTCTCGGGTGCTATCGTACAATGAATCAAAATCGTACGCGACTTCTTCAACAAGGTGGTATTTTCTCGTTAAAAGCGATAATTCCTTCGTAAATAGAAATCCGGTTAAGTTGTGATAATGCACGCTCGTTATCAGGTCATCAGACGCGATTGCATGAAAAAAGCGGTATTTATACGTGTTCCATGGAACTTGGCGATAACTGTGGAACGTGCAAAGACGATTTCCCTTATCGTTGACAAATAATAATCCTTCTGTTACACCTATTTTGGCGTCCACGTGCCGCGATCCGTTGCCACTGCAACATCCGCCATGATAATGATTACATAGCACGTGGGATAGCTCTTATACATGTGGTTTACAGTAAATTACAGTTAGTTCGGTTACGGAATAATTTATGTATGTATGTAGTGTACCGTGAATATTTCGCTAAAATGAAACGGCAGTGAGTATCATAAAATGAGAACAATTTGAAATGTATACGTTCGAACGTGTTTCTCAGTTAATAACTTACCATTTGATGTTGTCATAACTTTAGACTTTTCCTATTTGGTGATCCACTCGAGTCCTCAAGTTCTCTGTCCTTGAACTTAAGACGTCGCCAAATGAGAATTTCCGTTTGCACGAGTCGGTGCTGCAACCAAACGTGATGCTTTTATGTAAAATCGAGGGAATCTGTTATCGTATCTCTTCGACAAAAATGAAGAGAAAAAAATATCTGTTCGTTTCGATCGTAAATCTGTTTTGTTCGATGAAAGAAGAATCGTCAGACACGGCGAATAGTAGAAGAAGAAGAAAAAAGAATGGTAAGTGATGTTCTGCATGTGCCGCAAATGGAGAACTGGTGACCGTGTACCTCGCGAGAAATTAAACGGCGTAGGAAAGGAATACTAATGAGACTATTTCGTGAAAGAAGATACGATGAGGACAGACGTCAAATAGGTAGTTCGACACTGAACAAGATTACGGTGACACAATAAGTTGTCCGCGGAGTCAAGTGGCGAAATTACGGTCGGCCACGTGGATCGGCTAATCTATGCGATCCTATTCAACATTTCGATCTATCATGGCCAAATGAAGAAGCTAACAACGAGATAATTGATGTCTACCCATACGGAACAATCGAGTGTAATTAAATCATTGTAACTTTTGTACAGACAACACTCTCTGTTCTCGATCATCCAATCCAATTTTCTTCGTACTACCTGCAACCGTTATCTTTATAATTGCTCGACGAAACGGGAAATTCGCTATTTCAAGGATACGTGAGAGCATCTTCTCCTCTTCCTCGTGCACGTCGTTAAGATATATGTAGTATATAAGAAAAAACACAAAGAAGTTTTACGATTAAATTCAATATACAGATTCAAAGTTGACGTTCGTTTTTCCTTTGTTATAAAATTGAACACCTACACAAATAAAGAAGATATCGAAAAGAACAGGTCTGTTGAAGCTTGAAGTATAATTCGCGTGCAAAGTAGCGTCGATTTTTTCCCCCCGTCGACGTCTCTGCACAAAGAAAAAAAATAAAACGCGTCACACGATCTGTTCTACCTTTTACTTTATAAATATACGCATCCTTTCATTTCCTCATTTCTACGTATGTAAGTGGCAAATCCTCGTGGACCTTGTGTAATTTTTTTTCCTCTCTGTATTACGGATGTGGATCGTTTGCTCGATAAATGACGAAGTAAACACGTTCGTAATTTATAGAAGTGCTCCGTACCTGGAAACTGTTTCACAATAAAATATATCGGATAAAATCGTGTATGTTTTTCTTTTTCTCTCTCTCTCTCTCTCTCTCTCTCTCTTGAACGTCCGCTGTTCAAGGTTCGATGATATCAAAAATTAAATCACGATACTGCTGGAAAGCAGCATCGCGGTCTTCTCTTTTTATGTTTTTTCTTCTCTTCTCTCTGATATCGTTCTAGCGTGAACCGGTTAAAGAATAAGATAAAACAGGATCAGAAGCACGTGTTGCGCCTACCTCCGCAGTTACCTTTACAATAACTGCGTCTGGTGAATTATTTCTAGATAAATCCACCTATTTGTTTATCAGCTACTCTGAACTCTTGTACTAGCAGGAAAATGTTCATCATAGGGAGAAAAATGAAACGCCACCGGTCGAACGTTTGTGCCGGCCAGTATTTTCCGCTTGAACGAGATCCCCGACGATAAAAAGGACTGGTTCACCTTTTTCTTTTCGTCACGTGATCCAGATCCTGATGCAACCGGTAAATGATCGCGATTCGACTGATTCGTGAAATGCATTTTCATGATCTGCAAATGTGCAAGTACAGAGAGGATATAATTAATAGAAGTAATTAGCTACAGAGTTTAAGTAACGCAACTGTAAAATGTACATACATACATAGAGGTTGATTTGAAAAGCAAGTGTGAAAATTGTGTAATTGGTGTTTCACACGAAAGATATACAGACGTTGATATGAATTTATAAATGCCGAAAATAGATAAAATATATGCAGCGCACGAACAGGTAATTCTTGACCGTGAAATTTTAAGATATCTCGTTCTCTTTCAACGGCCAAAGTGTCGAAGAATATTTAAGAGAGTGACAAAAAGGAAAATATCTATTGTTTCGTTTGACATAATTAACAATGCATTCGAGTCCAGTTTTGCACACTTCTCTGTTACGCGGAAAATTACGCTCGCCTATTGATAACTTGTCAAGGGAACAAAAAACGATACGCCGAATACATACCTTTGTTAAAAGGAACCTTGAAACAAGGCAAGGCTACGGCGATAGGCATATCTCGCTTTTAAGAATGAAATATCTTGCCTTTTAAGTATCAAGTTCGCGCAAACTATTTCGTTTTACTTTAACGTTTAATTTCCTTGTAATCTATGAGAATCTTATCTAACGATAACTTTCATAAAGGAAAATACGAAGAAATCTTAATAAATTTCTCGCTCTATTAATCGGTACGACAAGAAAAAGAAGAAAAAAACACATAAAAAGAATTCCGTCTCTATACGTTGTATCTCGTTGAACTATTATTTCAAATAGCACTTATGTTCGAATGTAAGAGTAATGTGTATCACTTTTACTGCATTGTATTATGTATCAACAATATCGGTTTCAGGCAATGTCCATTTTATTGTGAAATGTGTGTCACGAAACCTCCTAGAACATGCTATGTACGGTATCATTAGAAATGCAACTCGCGCTTCTATACTTTTAGGTACAAGTCGTTGCATAACGCGGTACCTGTAGCTTTGGGTCACTTGTAACTTGTTCTTTTGCAAAGATCACTGATCTGTAAAGGAAAAAAAAGAGAAACATAGACGAAAGGACCATACTGTATAAAATTATCGATAAAGTAGGTTTTGTAATTTTTTTTATTTTCCATACCGATTTAGACCACTTTCACTAGCGGCGGTAATTCCCGTTTCCTTTTTATCAATGATTAGGACAAATCGTCGGTGGTGTTACGCCGTTTCGATAGTAAAATTACCCTTAAAAATCGAAAGTACCTTTCGATTATTACGCGTATTTGAAATTATTCGTCTAACTGTGTTGCGTGTGAATAAACACGCACAGAAGTTGATAGTTAAAAACGTTAATGCCTTATTAAATGGCGCATAAAACTAATCGTCGTCTTACGAGCTAGTAAATGTCATAAGCGAACAATAAAGATAGTTCATGCGTACGAATTGATAAACCGGTAGTTTGGTAGTGTCGAAAAAATATTCACTTACGCGAACTTTCCTTGATCCGGTCCCTTTATTTTCACGGGAACGTAGTCCAAGGTGTATGCACTGATCCGTGCATTCCCAGTGAACTTTTGTTTGTGCAATTTTCACCGCTACGTATTTCTCCAGAGAAAGCAAAATGTACACAAGTAAAGTCTTGATATACCGTACGACGAATCTCGTCTCGTTTTGATAGAATCGAAACTATCGCAAAATATATTTCAAATCGGTTACAATCGAAAAAAAATTATCGATTCAAGGTAAAGAATTAAAAATGATCGACCTCATCGATCGATATGTAAGAGCAATTGAGACGAATATCGAAAATAAATCACCAGGTGGATGCTTAAACAGAATCGAAAATCGAAAGTATACGTTCACTAAAGACTAACTGAGGAATATTAAACGACCATCGAATTCTTCTGTCTTTATATCGTGAAAATCTTAACGATATTGATCGAATCTAAGTGACTTATCATTTCAACAAATGCACTATCACCTGTTTCGCGTCGCGCACCCGGCTATACTGTACCATTCTGTATCTCTCCTGGACACTGTTGCACGAATTTATCCCCTCTCTGCGTTCCTATCGGCAATCGCTTACTTTTCCCGCGGTACAACTTACCGATAGATTGCACGTCGATATTTAACTTCTTTTACCATGACAACACGTGACTTACGTCAAACCGGTGAACTAATTCCGCGAATGGACGGTGTAGCTGCGATTATTCGAACAAATCTAGCATACAAGCACGTATTTTTTCGGCAACATTCGGTCTGTGTTAATTATTTCGTACGTCAGTCATCCTGTGTTACCATAATTCATTCAGTCGCTCATGACATTGGTTCGATAAAGAAATGTCTTTGCCTTACCTGGTGTTTAAATGTAAAGAAGAAATTAAAGATTGGTGTTTATCTATTTACTATATTACAACGAAGAATTTTTCCTCGAAACTGTCAGTTGCGCCATAAGGAAGGAGTAAAGAATAAATGTACTAGCGGAAGGTTATATGTATGTAATTTGATGGAAAGTATAATTGTCCAAGTATTATGCAATAAGTGATCGACTTATAATCGATGTTTCATGGTTATTTCGTGTTTCGTAATATTTCCTGTAAAATATAAATTCTGCAAATTACGCGTACTTGCAACGCATCGACAAGTACTTGGACTTGGTAAGTTAGCATCCGCACGTTAATGAAAATTCGCATAGTTGTTCACGTGCGACGCAATTGTTGCACGTTTTCTTCAAATACGTAATTTATGTTCGCTTCGTACGAAGTTCATTCTTTTCTATTCTCTTTTATGAAACGTTTCGTTTGATCGATACAGGGTAGGTTTATATTACCAACCATTCCACTGCAAAATTATAAAATTAAACGCGTAACTTATCGATCATCGTTTAATCATTTTCTTGTTATCCTAATGGTGATTATGCCTTTAGGATAATTATTCTTCATTTGAGTCTATATAATTATTTCTCTGTAGTAATTGAAATCATTTTTTTCTTATGATTATTTATTCGAATAACTGTTATGTAAACGTTATATATGTATACTCTTTCTATATTGCGTGTATTTTTCTGTAATATTTGTATAACCCTCCTATGATATTTATGACTCTGATCAGTTTCTCACTGGCAATATGGTGGCGCATGGATAAAGTTCTAATTCCTCCTTGACACTGAAATATCCAACTTTATCAATTAATATCCGTGATATTTTTCTTATCGTTGCAGCTTAAAACGTTTGCCAATTAATACATTTTTTTTCTTTGTAACTAGAGCTTTCAGCCTATTAACGACTACTTAACGTCGATGAGGAAACATCTTTATAATGCTACAAAGGATAACCAGAAAGATGCTGAATTATTTCATACTTGACAGGTACAGACAAATTGTTCAAATAATAATAATAATGTTAAAGGTGTTTATAGCTTCGAAATTCGGAATTGACGTAACTGAATGTTCAAAAAATAAAAGTAAACATAGTCTAGACAAGAAAAAATGACCTGTCTAATCTGTTAGCATTTATTTATACACCTTTGTATTCGCAAGCTGAACAACCTGTAATAATATTTCAGAATTCACTTTGCACATGGGACGTCGAATTTGAATCTCTACTACTGGCAAACAAGTTGGACAAAATGCGCATGAGGATGATCATTTTCAGTTTATAAATAAAATGTAATAAAATAAAGGAAGTAGGTACATAGTTTAATGGATATATATATCGAGCGACGATATTCACGATAATGTAATGCAGGAGAAATATCACGAAAATGCCCGATAACATTGTTATGCACCACGCTGAATAATAATCAACAAAGAATCCTCAATATGAATCTTTATCTCGAGACACACAGTCTAACATGCGTCGCTGTCATTCGTGGTAATCTTACCGATTGTCGATATTAATCTCGAAAATTGTCAACCATAACACATTATTTCATGACGTTTCTATTATGGTATTATGCGGCTAAAGCTAGACAGAACTGATCGATGATTTTCGAAAATCATTATGAAACATATAATATTTATTTATTGTTATCTCGTTAAAATATATCGATGATGTAACATAATTAATGGAGTGAAATAACATAAATCAAATTACTTAAAGTAGCGAGGTAGACAGATATTTACATAAAGTTTCAGTTCTTCACAGTTTGTAATATAACATGTATCGAGATCAAATAATCCATCAATCAAAGAAAAAAGGTATTTATGAAGATCAAAATCGGTCAACAGTGTACAGTAAACACTGACATTTAACTTTCTCTAAACGTGAATAAACATTTTCAGATGTGTGCATCATCATTTTGTTTGCGTTTCGTGCCTTCATGAGATTGTTGTCTTATTTACACTTTAATCAACCTGGAATATGAAGTGGCTCTTTAAGTTTGTATACGGTGCAATTCAAGTTTGCAGAAAAAACAGAACAATGTACCGAATGAACTCGAATAATCTCGATAAAATTCTAAATGCCATTTGATCAAAAATAGAGATATTTGTTACAAAATAATTGCGTCAAAGAGAAGGCGGATAAGATTGAAACAAAAAAAAAAAAGAAAAAATATCGGTAACTGCATGGAATAAAGCAAAAATAAAAACTATTTTATAGTTGCAAGTTGAAATTACAAAGAACTCTCGACCGATCGAACGGATGTAAATCTTACTCTAATCTCAGTGTCTCGTAATTCTCTATGTAACCTTACGCAATGGTATAATTGGATGGAATTTTTTGCGACACCAAAGACAAGTTTGAAGATCAGATTTCATGTAACATGAGGTCTATTAAGGAAACGGAATGAACATGAATTACTGTGAGTTCCATCGATTGGAAGGTACTTTTTGAATTAAACCGTGATTTTCAGGACGTCTGTAATTATTTGTATATTGTGCAACCGTTTTGCTTCTTTTATACAATAAAAAAAATCGAGTATTCGTTAAATCATATTGGAATAAAATTTGATAAATATTTTTTCTTGTATCTACTGTCAAGAATAAAAGAAGTTTTTATTACAGTTCCATAGATAAGAATAATTCTGAAAGTATTGTTTCGCGGTTGCTACGTTTGCTACGATAGTGTTTGCTCTTTTCTTATCGGAAGTTCTGCGTTATTTTTCGGGTGATCTATCGAATTAATTTTCATTTACCTGTGTTCACCCGCATTCTCATATGCTGCATGATTTTATTGTAACGCAGATGTCTCACGTAACTAATGCGAGTAAATTGCACTTCATAATCACACGATCGTACGCCTAGATGTACCATCGGATAATCAGGGTACATCAAGGTTGATCCAATAGATCCCCATTGGCGTATACATGGGCCGTATTACAAAGATCTCACCTATATAGATTCTGGATCATTGATCCTACGCTTGTGATCGACGAGGGCTGATATCCAGGCTAAAGTCAGCGAAATTGAGATCATTGCTGATATGAATGCCCTCGGAATATTTAATCACCACAATTATTTCCAAATTTCATTTGCTTCCTTTTTTTTTTTAATATAAATATTTAGTCCTTTGATACATCGTAAGACGTATCCTTGATAGTATCTTGAATTATACGAAAAGATTTAAGAATTTGCAATGTTTGATTGTGATCAAGGAATTCATCAGAATTCAGTAGTAGAAAAGGAGAACAAGCATACTTAATATAAATGCTATCATTTACGTCGAAACGATGATGCTTATCTGAAAATATATGCATCGCGAAGAATCTTGAACTGTGAGATAACAATGTACCGAATATTTAGTGCTGTAATGATAACCGTAATGGACGAATTAAGTAATCTTATTTTGAATTAATCACCCCGCTGTAAACAGCTGTGTACGCGTGAATAGATTGAAGAATGTTAATAATAAATTAGTATTCGTAACGCATATATTCATTATGGTACCGCAGCATTTGTTATAATTGCATTAACATATTTTATAGTGCCATGCTCCTGTTAAAATGTCAGGAATTTGGTACATTTTGAATGCTCTGCTTGTAAGTAAAATATATATTTACTTTTTTATTTATATTCTGTACAAAAATCAAAATATATAATAAATATTTACAGATTTCTTAATATTCCTAATATAATGTCAAGTTCTTATGATGTGAATTCGCCTAAGTATAGGATCTTTAGAATTTTGTAATACTGAAACATAATCTCTTCATATGCATTATTTGCGTATTTTCATTGGATAATGAAATATTCCACAAAATCATCTCAAGGGTAGCTAACTTTTCTCATTGTAATTACTGCAAATGGTGTCCATATCAAACTGAGACAATATTTCATCGTCAGAGTCATTTTCGGTATTGCCGAGTATATCATGCAATGACCCTGAATCTTTGGACGATTTTTTCACTGGAACTATTTCTGGAGGAGTTAGTACATCTGCATTTTTAAATTGCAGCAATGTAGATCGTATATTTTTCTGTTTATTTTCTGTTTTGTTATAATAAATTGAAGGAACAGTTTCTACTATAGATTTTACTTTGTTTGGAGACATATTTTTATCAAATTCCTGAACATCCATTTTTTGAGAAATCATATCATTTAATACTTCTGATTCAATTTCTTTAGAACAAATGCTCATTGGTTCTGAATGCCCAGCATTCGTTTGGAAAACTTTGGAATTTTTAGACAGTAGTTTCTTTGCATTTGGAGAAAATCTCTTTAAACTTTTAAATAAATTTTCAGCTCTTTCTTTATCATCATTCTGTACATTTATCTGTTTCTCACTTTTTTGCTTTATATGTTTTAAATTCTTAGATGTTGAATTATTAAATTTTTTCTCACTTTGTGAATCTGTAATTGGTTTAGGAGAAATAGAAAAAGACATGTCAGTATCATAATCCATTGATTCATTTATACTTTCATTTTTTTCATTCATATTTGTATTGAAATCTGATTCTTTTTTATTTGTATTTTCTGTATTCTTTTTGGAATTTATTGATCCTTTACTGTTATTATTGCTCTTTACATTAAATTGGAAGCTAGATTTTGATGAATGTGCTACTTTTGCAGATATGCACTCTTTGTTCTCTTCTTCTTGTTTCTTTGTTCTTCCATCTGCAATATTTTCAAAAACTGATTCCATATATTGTGTATGCTCTATTGTACCTTTACTAGTGTAAATTGCTAGTAAACTAGATGGTGAGATTAGAATTTGATACTTATGTGAAGCAAAAGTTCTAGAAGTCCTTAAAAGACCTACATCATGTAGTAACACAACAACATTAGATTCCAACAACCCAGGATATTTAAGTGGTACATCCCTATGCACAATTCCCTGTATACTGTCTGTAAAGTCTTTTAAAACAATAGGAGGATTGTCATGACTGTAATCTATGTGTTCTATTATTCCTGCCAAAAAATCAACCTTTGTATTGTTGAAGCCATTCAGAGTTGCCACTTGTTTAATAGTAGCAATTTCATGACCTTTTAAAAAATCATTTGGCAAATCATCTAATAATAATTGCCAAGCACCTTCTGTAAATAGATTTTTTGTATCTTGAGAACAATATTCAGACAAACTATTACAATCATTTTCTTCATTTACTATCTCACTTTCTTCTAAACTATTTAAATATGAAACACAAGGAATAGTGTCTATATCATCTGGTAGTAGACCAGCTGGTCCAGGAAATTTTCTGACCAGTGTTAACTTTTTATTAGATTGCACTGGTGGATGCTTGAACTTGCTGTTGTTAGAACTACCATTTTTGAATTCTATATTACTTGTAGATGGTTGCTTCAATACATTAGACAACAATTGTTTCGTGGAATTTCCAAATAAATATTGCTTAGAATTATCATTACTTGAACTACTTTGTACTTTAAAATTACTCTTAGAAATTTCAGAACTAGTTTTGTTGTTAATTGCTGTACTTCTTTGTTTTGAATTGATATTACCATTATTGTTAATTCTTGGTTCAAATTTTCTCAATTCTATATTTTTTGGATTATTTTCTATAATTTTATCTTGTTTATTTTTATTTTTAAGTATTCCAAGTACTAAATTTTTTCTAGGTAATTGATTATTTTCACAATTCTGTGTATTACTGGCATGTGCCTTTGTTTGAATGTTATCATATGACCTTTTTGGATCACTTGACACATCTTGTGATATGTTTTTATCTGGAACATTCTTATTAAACATTCCAAGAATTAAATTCTTTCTTGACTCTTTATTTCCATTTTGTTTCAATGTAGTTGTGTTGATAGTATTTTCTTCCCATGTATCTGTATCATTGTTCAGTGAAGAAGTAGGATCATTATTTTTTTCTACTTTACGTCTTTTAGGTTCACTTCCTTGATTATCTATTTGAGAACAATATTTAATTGTTTTATCATCTACGTCATTTAAAAAATCCTAAAAATGTGAATTAAAAAATTATTTCTGTAATTACTTTATTATTTCAAAGTATGTACTGTTTAACTAAACAGATTCAGTTCAAATAATACAATGTACAGTTGTTTTATAAAACATTGTAACTTATTTTTCGTAAAAATTAATTTGAATTTACCTGATCGAGATCCCAATCATCGCTTTCAAACATTTTCCAAACATCAGATTTTTATTTTTTTTACATAGAATGCCGTCTTTTAATATAAGCTTTTATTTACAATTAATTCAACAGGATTACGTATTAAATAAAAGCATATTTTATTTCAATATTTGTAAAATGTCAAATATTTTAATCATTGATTATGTAGTAAGAAAGATAGCAAAATCCCTCACAAATTTAATGCCGTTGGCGGCCATGCCAAACGATAGCGGGTATTTTGAATTTGAATATTCCCTACCGTTAGAAAATTTAGAAGGAATGCTTACAATGTAATATCAATTTATTGAGTATGAATATGTAATACAAATACATTCTTTCGTTTTTAATGACATGCGCATATTATATATATAAAACACTTATGCAAGAGTTCTTAATTTCATTTTTACTGAGAATACAACATTGCTTTTGCCACATCATCTGCTGTTTTTTTATCAACCAATTTTTCCACAATAGCCAAACCAAAAGCAAATGCAGTTGCTGGACCTCTGCTAGTAATTAAGTTACCTATAATATATAATATAACCATGAGTGAAACATTTTTTAAATCAAATATAATGCTATGAATTAATTCATACCATCAATTACAACTTTATCTTCCAAGTATTTGTAGTCATCTGCCAACTCAGCTTTCATTGCAGGATAAGATGTAATTTGCTTTCCTTTTGCAATACCATGTGCTTTTAATGCAGTTGGTGCAGCACAAATAGCAGCAATGACTCTATTTTCTTTTTCTTGCTCTTGTAACAATTTTCCAACTTCTGCTGACTATAAAATATGAAAGAAATAATTAATATATGAATATTACTGTAGGCTTAAATTTTACTTACAGATGCAAAAGCCTTTGAACCACCCAAGCCACCAGGTAATATTACAACATCATATTTTTTATCAGTTGCATCTTGAAGTTTTTTATCCACACAAATTTTTACATCACGACTGCACTTGATACATGTACTATCAGAAAGACCAGCAACAGTAACGTCAATCTGAAAGTAATATCGTAATAATAAGATTACATAAAATCTTTTTTATAATAAATGATTCAAGTTAAGTAAACATTTAATTTATTAATATTTCGTAAAATAAATTTCCGTCTAATACGTAGAAGCAATTTAAGGTTATATAGAATGAAAAAAACATACTCCTCCACGACGTAAAACATCCGTCGTTATTACAGCTTCCATTTCTTCAGAGCCATCGGCTAATAATAAAATTGCTGTCTTTTTAGCCATAGTTACAGTATATTTTGCGCTGCAGTACAAAACTGTTGGAATTCTACAAACTGAGTGCATAAAATGTGGAAGCACACGACCCAATACTGACATAAGTATATGTATGTATGATAAAGAGAGAGAAGATAGTATGCACTACATGCCAGCTATTGGCGTTCAGTGTCATTAAATACAATAGTCATGTGATTTTAGGTAAATATTCCAATCATTTATTTATTCTCTGTATCTCCTAAGTAATAAAAAGACAATATAAAGTTGTATTGTAATTGAGAAATTATCTTTATTTTAAAATTTCTATATCTTATCTTCTATATCTTGTTGATATTGTTACATAGGAAAAAAAATATTGAAAAGTCAATTTAGAAAGTATGCAAAACAATTGTGAAATTGTAAAAGAAAATGCATCTTAAGTTTTTTTTATATAATTAACGAAATTCGTATGACGTTGTCTTGTTAGAAATGTTGAATATCAAACCAAGTATTCGAATTGAATTATTAATTTTATATAAATTATATCTACGTAATGTTTCTTGCTCTCCTAACAATAAAACTGAAATGATCAAAATATTCCAATAATAAAATATATTTTTATTACATTTCAAATTTTCAAATTGCCACCAGAAAAGCGTCGATGAAAAAGAAACGGGGGAATGTATGGAATCGGAACGCACCCCCACAGAAGAAAAACGAAACAAAACGCAGTACAAGATGGCTGCGTTTAGGTGTTGTGGCTACTGATTTATGCAAGATATTCCGTAATGCTCGATGGTTAATTCATAGTGAATCGTTAAAATTTCTATCGCTTGTCTATCGGCTTAATCGAATTTGTGTGTAACGCGTACATGTGGCAGCAGGTTGCGTCGGGAGGAACAATGCGAGCACATCGTTGAAACATTTATCACGGGTGAGTTTGCCTTGAAATTTTATGGCTTTCCACTTTATTTTAACGGCTCTCCGGAATTCCGCCAAGACGAGGCACGATGTGACGAAAAATTCTAGCGGACGGCATGCGTTCCATCAAAATAATTCGTTAATCGACTTGCCGCTCGAAAGTTCATGCGCGTACATCTTCTTTCGCATTTTCTGCGTACATGACGAAATTGTGTAAATAGCTGTTTTTTCTGTATTCTCACATTGCACGTCGATGAGTCAATGAAAAGTTTTATGATGTTCATCGCTCCTTGGCACGCTTCAATTGCGTTAAGATGACGATGAAGCGTTTCGATTTAAGTAAAACTTATTTATACCGTCTACCGCTTTCACCGTGACTCAAGACCACTTAAAGAAAGTAGAAATATGTATTTTGCTAGGGTGTTATGATGGGTTATCACACGAGTATTTAATTTTCTTTGTAAATCATAAAATTGTGCAAGGTTATAGATATAACTTTTTATTAATGATTATGTAAATGAGAGTTGATTTTTTCAGGATTTGTTTACATATACTTTTGTTAATTTAGTTTGTGTTATACAAATTCATCCTTCATTGAGGTATCAAAGAAGCAAATTAATATATGTAGTTTTCAAAATAAACGTTTTCTACTTATATATTATTTTTATAGGATAATTGTCCATAGGTGTGTATGATAATTATCTAAAGAATTAGAAATGCCTTAGTTTTATTTACAAAATATTAATAAAATTGTTAGGGATATACATGATAAAAGGTGTATAGAAAAAGGAACTTAAGAAAGAAAATGATTAATAAGTAGTGTTATAAAAATTTATTTGCATTTTAAGAGTATTTGTTATAGATATTAAATAACACTTTAAGTAAGATAGATTATGTAACTCACCAATAAAAAAGAAGTAATGCCATAATAACTGACATCATAGTAGAAAAAAGGGTCATTAAAAAAGGAAGCATGTTAGCAGTACTTTCTCTTAAACAGTTATTATAAATATACTGATAGAATGACTATATAGTTCAGGGGGTGGATGATAGGAATTTACTGAAAATCCAAGATAGAAGCCACTTGAAACGCTGGAGAAAGACGGTGGAGCTTCGGAGGAGGAGGAGATGTCTGCCGGCACCCAGGGCGAGATTCGGGTTGGCCCTTCGCACCAGGTTTGCCATATACCTTGAAAACCTTTTTTGCTATTTAGCTATATTGCACAATGTACCTAACTCAAGGCTTGTTCTCTTGAAATATGTATTCTAAATGTATAGATAAGGCAGAGTTCATCATTGAAGCACCGGGTAATTGTGACATCATTTTTTTCACAATACCTAATATTTTCAATGGTAATTGCTCCTAATTTATGTATCTCATTCTTCCCTTGATTGTATCTAAAGTTAGGGTAGCATTCAGGTTATTTATGTGTTACTTACATTGTTAGGTATGTGTATATTGTTCAAAAGTTATCAATGCATCTATAGTTTTAAACAATTTTGCATAGAATAAAGATGTTTGAAACTATATTGATGGTAACAATATGTACATACTATTACTTTGATAACATGTATGAATTAAATAAGTCAGACAATTAATTTTTAAGTTGATAGTTATTCATTAATGTAGAATATAGGAGCATTTATTTGAGATATTAAAAATTTATTTCTGGAATATATTATCATACATATATTAGGTATCATTAATAACCATAAACACTGTTCATACATTTTATGAATATTTAAGTATCAAAATAATTTATATACTCTAAAAAGAAATGAGGATATACTTGGGTAGTATTTTGTAAGAATGTATAATTATTTTGCAATGCTATTCAGTGTAGTTATATTATTTTCAATAATTATTAAGAACATGCATGGCGTGTACTTAGTTACAGATTTAGAGTAATTAAAATACCAATGTTTTCTTAGTGCTTGAAGTTCACATTCATAGAAAAAATTTTTTTATCAATTGGTCACAACTTTGATATTTGTTTTGTATTTATACACATTGACAGAAAAATTGTAGAATTAAACATTAAAAAGCACGAATACCTACCTATTCCTCATACAGCTTTGTTGTATGTCGATGGTTCAAATAACAATGATAGTTATTCTTTAAGTCATAATAATGATAATTTTTACTTGCTTAACAGTATAGCCCCAACACTCAAGTACTATCCCTCAGATTACTACTGTTGCTGAAGGACCCTAAGTATGATGAAAGTTATTATGATAAAGCATTCTAATAATGATTTATAGGACAATATTGTATAAGTGTAAGATTAGCTTTATATTTATAGTGGTTTTCAGTCACGGTGAAATTACAAGTTATTTTACTTTTATATAATAACCCATTGGTTACTTGAACCATCTATGAGAAATATTAAAGTTAGGTAATTTATGGAGAAGTACTTATATAATTACAACATATTGATACATATTTCCACTTTTATAACAGTTTCTCTTATCACTTTTTCCATAAATGCATTTTCTTCTAATCTTGTAAATATCATGTTATACTTGTTTGTGAAATGATTGTTTTTCATTCTTCATTGTTATTTTACTCCATTTACCAAAAAGAATCACGTGAATGTGCTTTTTGTTCGCGTGCATATTAACTTCTAGCTTTAATTGTATCCATACAAACATGACTAATTGTTGTTACATGTGCAAGTCTTAACACATGTATAATATATACGTATGTTATTTTGAACTTTTCTTGTTTCTCATACTTTTATATATATATATATATGTATGTATGTATGTATGTATGTATGTATGTATGTATGTATATATGTATAATATGTGTTATGTATGTATGTATGTATGTATGTATGTATGTATGTATGTATGTATGTATGTATGTATGTATGTCGTGTAGTTTCGAAAAGCAAGCCGGAGTATAGGTGCGTACAACTAACTCGCTTTGGCATTGGTGCTAACTACGCACAATCCCGAATTTTGGGTACAGGAATTGGTTTCTTGTCAGGCCCGTTTGCCTGAGTATCGGCCGGGTATACCTCCTGGAGAGCTGCTTCCTGATCCAGAGTTTTCTAAAGAACGAGAGGAGCTAAGATGGATTCCAGCTATGGTATTGGACGGGGATCTTCTGATGTACATAAGGGCAGCGCGATCTATGGCTGCATTCGCTGGCATGTGTGATGGAGGATCCCCGGATGACGGTTGTGTGGCTGCTTCCCGTGACGACACGACTATCAATGCTCTGGACACCTTGCACGACTCTGGCT